ATACTTCTTGGTTTAAAATCAGGAAAGGTGTGCGTCAGGGTTGTAGCCTTTCACCATACTTATTCCATCTGTAGGCTGAGAAAATAACCCAAGAAGCTGGACTATATGAAGAACACAGCATCAGGATTGGAGGAAGACTCATTAACAACCTGCCATATGTAGATGACAAAAGCTTGCCTGCTGAAAGCTAAGAGGACTTGCAGCACTTACTGACGAAGATCAAAGACTACTATAGCCTTCAGTATGGATTACACCTCAACATAAAGAAAACAAAAATCCTCACAACTGGACCAATAAGCAACATCATGAGAAATGGAGAAAACATTGAAGTTGTCAAAGATTTCATTTTTCTTGAATCCACAATCAATGCCCATGGAAGCAGCAGTCAAGAAATCAAACAACATGTTGACTTGGGTAAATTTGCTGCAAAAGACCTCTTTGAAGTGTTAAAAAGCAAAGATGTCACTTTGAGGACTAAGGTGTGCTTGACGCAAGCCATGGTATTTTCAATCGCCTCATATGCATGCAAAAGCTGGGCAATGCATAAGGAAGACCAAAGAATTGGTGCCTTTGAATTATAGTGTTGGTGAAGAATATTCAATATACCATGGACTGCCAGAAGAATGAACAAATCTGTCTTGGAAGAACTGTAGCCAGAATGATCCTTAGATGCGAGAATGGCGAGTTTTTGTCTCAGGTGCTTAGGACATGTTATCAGGAGGGACCAGTCCCTGGAAAAAAGACATGCTTGGCAAAGTAGAGGGTCAACCAAAATGAGGAAGGCCCTCAATGAGATGGATTGACACAGTGGCTGCAATATTGGGCTCAAACATTACAAAGATTGTGAGGATGGCGTTCTGTTGTAGGATACGTTCACTATGAGTTGGAACTGACTCAACAGCCCCTAACAACAAAGAGCTATTTATTTTTAGAGTACCTGGGCAGACACCCCTTGCAGTATGACAGTTGGAAACTTAGTAAATGTAGGGGGAATCAGCAGACTCCCTGAAATACATATATGAAGAGAAAAGGAGACAAAAAAAAACAATTTTTTTTTTAAAAAAAGCAACCCAAGAACAGTTATTGAGGAGAAGAAAAAAGCATTTAAACTAAGAATGATACCCGTGTAGTACAGCCACAATAATAGACATGTTCGCTTTTATTTTCAATATATTTGTATAGCAGGGCTGATATTCAGCCGATATACAAAATAAAGAAATACTTCTGGATTGGCTGATAAATAGCCATGGGGTTAAGCCTTTACATACCCATCCCCTACTGCACTAGTCACTCTGACTGCAGGGTGTCCAAATGGTGCCTGCCCAGGTGACCATTAACCAGCCTACCTATCTGCCTTTCTACCAGCCAACTTACCATTCCCATGTGTCACCCCACGGCTTCTCTGTTCAGAGCAGGTTCAGAACAAGACAGAGGAGAGAGCACCCCGATGAAGGCAGTTGCATACTGACAGGTAAATGCCAGATATTCATTTGGCATCAGAGGCTGTGACAGCCTATTCACAGCCAGAGTACCCCACAAGTTACCCTCACATTGTCGTTTATTGATACTGTAGCCTCCATGGCATACTTTAGTCTACACAAATTGTTAGATATTTTTAATATCATCCATCCTATAGATTCAAGTCATAAAGTAATTTGGTTTTTCTCAAATAGTCTCCTTTGAGTGACATAAAGGTCTATCAGCTAACTATTGCCATATATGGCTCAAAATTGGAAAAGGTGTGTGGCTGGGTTGGGTCCTTTCACTTTACTCATTCAATCTGTATGTTGAACAAATAATCCAAGAAGCTGGATTATATAAAGAAGAAGCATGGCATCCGGATTGGAGGAAGACTCATTAATAACCTTTGATGCAGATGACACAACTTTTGTTTGTCAAAAATGAAGATGATTTGAAGCATTTACTGATGAAGGTAAAAGACTACAGCCTTAACCATGAATTACACCTGAACAGGAAAAAAAAAAAAAATCCTCTCAACAGGACTGATAAACAACATCATGATGAATGAAGAAATTGACGTTGTCAATGATTTCATTCTACTTGGATGAATAATCAATTCCATGGAAGCAGCAGTCAAGAAATCAAATGATATATGGCATTGAACAAGTCTGCTGCAAATAACCTCTGTAAAGTTTTTAAAGCAAAGATGTTACTTTGATGATTAAAGTGCACCTGACCCAAGCCATGGCTTTTTTCAGTCACTTCATATGCATGTGAAAGCTGGACAATGAAAAAGGAAGACAGAAGAAGAATTGACGTGTTTGAACTGGGGTATTGACAAATAATATAGACTATAACTGTTACCTGCCAGAAAAAATGAACAAATCAGCCTCAGAAGAAATACAACCAAGATGCTCCTTAGAAGCAGGGATGGCAAGACTTTGGCTCACTTACTTTGGACATGTCATCAGGAAAGACCAGCCGCTAGAAAAGGATATCATGTTTGGCAGATGGTCAGCAAAACCAAGAGAAAACCTCAATGAGATGGACTGACACATTCGCCACAGCAATCGACTCAAACGTACCAAGGATCATAAAGATGGCACTGGACCGGCGAACATTTCGCTCTTTTATACATAAAGTCCCCATGAGTTGGAGCCCCATGAGTCCCCATGAGCAACTAACAACAACAACTTTGTTTTGTAACAAATGACCCACAAAGCTTAGTGGGAAGAGATCACCAAGTGTCAAGCACAATGAATGAAAAAAGAACTTACCTAACTCATATTGTACAATTTCACAACACCCAGGGAAGGGGCATAACTAAAAGCTTCCAGAGAGGAAAAATAAGTCATCTACAAAGAGTTGGATTGGTATCAGACTTCTCAGAACTAACAATGGATGCTAGAACACAATAAGTCAACGTCTTAAAAGTTCTGAAGGAAAACGTTTTTGTCCCTGATGTTAATATAGCCAAACTACCAATCAAGGGGAAAGCAAAATAAAATAATTGTTAGACTTGCAAGAAATTGATTTTTAGTAAAAATGGTAGGTTGACCTTACATGTTTATTCCTTCTTCCTCCCAAACCACACAAAAATAAGTGAAAATAATAAAGAAGGCAGGAACTAGAGTGGCCATACATTCTGGTTTGCCCATGGGTTGTTCCTATATGATTATTAAGCATTCCCTTTCACTTTCAAAAGTTTCCTAGTTCAAACAATAAATTACATGGTCATCCCATTATTAATATGCAAGGAAAAGTGTATTAAAGATTTCAACAGATTTGAGGGAGATGGAAAGCACATGAAAAAGTGCTAACTGATTTAGCAGAGTAAAACGTTACAACTTGGTGTCTGCAGAGGAGAATGCATATAGAAGGTGATTTTCCCTTAAAAAGCCCCTGAGGCTTTATTCTCTAGAGAGAATGAAGAGGCTCTTGATTCAAGAAGCCAGAATTCAGGAATTCAGTGAGGAAAAGGGCTGAAAACAAGTGGATTAAATGAAAAAATATGCACAATGGATGGTGGGCCTTCTACCCCTTTCTCCTGCTTTGAAACCAGAATACCAGCATGCTTGCTTACTTTTTTATGTTTCTATAAAAATTAGAGAGGACAACGGGATGCTACTCAGCCATAGAGAGAAATGAAGTCCTGATACATGCCACAACATGAATGAACCTCGAAAACATCGTGCTGAGAAAAATAAGTCAATGATAAAAGAACATATATACTGTATGACCTCACTCATATGAAATAACCAAATATATAGAAATCAAAGACTGTAAGTGTTTACCAAGAGTGGGAGGGAGGGGGAAAAGGAAATTTTTTGCTTAGAGGGAACTGAGTTTATGTTAATTGTGGTTGAATGATTTGGAAAAGGATAGCGAGAATGGTTGCACAACTTGAAGAATGTGGTCAATGTTACTGAATTCATGTACATGTAGAGATTGCTGGTTTGGTGTATGTATTGTTATGTCTATTTTCACCACAATTAAAAAAAAAATTTAGAGGGAAATTTGTTCTTTGGTGACCCCCAAAAAAGGTAAAAGGAGATAGTAACTGTTGTCACAGGCCCTTAATTTCTGTCTTGAGTAAACTATAAAAAGGACGGAAGCCCTTCCTCCCCTTGTTACAGTTGCACAGTCATACCCACAGGGAGTTGGCAGAAAGTGTCAAGCAGTCCCTCCATTGCCTGCCCCATCTTGAAAGGGACCACTATAGCTCTAGGACCAAAAGCCTTCCATACATTTGAACAACTCCATCTACAGGGTCCTGCATTTTGATAAGGAATAAAGAGGAGTGCAATCCTTTGACCAGTCTCTGTCTCTTCGTGTCTCACAATTTCCATCTGATAGAGATTAAAAGAATTAGAGTATGGTCTACCCCCTATTCCCCAAAAGGAGACTTTCCTAATTTTGGACCACCCTAGAACACTAGTGCTATATTATTAGCAATGTTTAAGTATTTGTTTATATGTCTATCTCCATCACTAAACTCCAAAATTCATGTGGATGAGAATGGCATATCATTTGTTTTTTGTACCCTCGAAGTTGAGTTCAGTGCCTGGAAGCTTGTTAAATAAACGAATCTAGGAGATTACTGGTAATAAGTAATTTGCACATGAGAATATCAAGGAATAGTGTTAAGACTTCCGAAATGCTTCTTTTGAAAAGCATCAACCATTATCCATATTACTCAGAAACATATATGAATTATGCAATGCACCTACATTATAATTTTCAGATGATCTAATGGTGCAGTGCACGTTTGAGCACAAGTACCAGCTATCCCTCCAGCCAACAGATGTTTCCACAATAGGCCAGATCTTTTATCATCGGTGAAATCATTTGGAAAAATCAAGCTGTCTATCACATCAATTCCCTAATAAAAAAAAAAAAAAAAGAGTTCAATAATATTGTAATCAGATGATCTCAAATGTAAGCTCTAAATAATGTTTTACGTATCTCAACTCCACAGTCAACCAATATCAGCCTTTTCTAGAATATTGTGCTTCACCAACTGGTACAATTTTAAGTAACTAAATTAGCTTGAAATACCATCAATAATAAACTAATAATAACTATTTTTGTTGTGTTATCATGTTTAGGATAACTTTTCTATTTCCCATTTAAAAATCTATATCATGTCTAAGATTGAATAGAAAAGGAACACTCTGGCAAGTTCTAATAAATATTTTTTTATCTATAGTGAAATACAAGCTACACAAACTACTAGTGTAGTAACTATTTAATTGAAATAATGTAAAAGTATCTTCAGTGTTCAAGATCTAGTGGATCCCTATCCACTAGTTCTGTCAAACTTTTTACCTCTAACAAAATAAATACAAAATACACACCATACATTTTAAAGCAAGTTTCCTTTTATATCTTTTCCTACAGTGGAATTGACAAAAATCTGGACCTTTTTATGTAGTGCCCCAAAGCAGATAATAAGCTCTGCTCTATTTATATCGTAACTCTAGAAGGCCTATCATATACGTCATAAATATGGGCCTGGGCTCAGGAGTCAGATGGGATCCAAATCCCAACTTCCCTAATTCCTAGTTGTGTGACTTCTCTGGGTCTAGTGTCCTCAAAGGCAAAGTGGAGACAATATTAATACCTGCTTTGTAGAGTCGTTAAGATTAGATGATTTAAAGCACATAAGGCACTTAGCACAATGCTTGGCACCAAAAGAACACTCAGCGTATGTTAGTTACCAATATTAGTTATAAAGTGCAGATTGTTTGGTGGTAATTTAGGTGCCCAAGTGCCTAGGTTGTGCATAATCATTCGCAATAATGTGACTAGGAAATAGCTCAATTAATATCTGTTCAATAAGTAAAAACTAACGTTTACTGAACAGAACTAGTACTATATTAAACAGTTATATGTGTCATATTTGATTTTGATGATAACCCGAAGAGAATAAGTATTATGCTGATTTTATAGTTAAGAAAACTGAGGCCCTGAAGGTTTAAAGAATTTACCCCATCTAGATATAAGTGGCAGAGCTGAGATTTGAACCAAAGCAGCCTGAACCCAGAACCTGCACTCTGTATTCTGTTCAGCAAAACTGGCTGCTGTCTACCTCTGTGATGTACAGCTCTACTGCCAAGCATATTTGGTTTTTGTGAAATCACTGTAAGCCAAACCATGTACATGCCTTGGAACAAGTGAAGCTCTCTATGATAGCACTATACCCCAAGAGGCAGTTTATTGAGTTCAATTTATATACCTTTATTGGGTTAAAACAAGCACTATGTCATTTAATCTACAAAACAGCTGTTATCCATGTCATTTGCCCTTTATCTTCAGTATGAAACAGAAAATGTGTCCTATAGTAAATATACAATAAATCCATTTTTTCATTGACTTGAATTTTTTTCAATCATCTTTAAAAGGAGGACACAGAGTAAACACTACTAAAAGGATAAAATCTTCTCTTAGTGACTACATATTTTTTATTAAAAGAATGTTGGTGACTGAAATTTCATAAGCATGATGGTAACAGTTAAGAGGAGCTCCTGGGTGGTGCAAACAGTTAACTAGCTCAGCTGTTAACCAAATGGTTGGTGATTAGAACCCACCCAGAGGCACCTCAGAAGACAGGCCTGGTGATCTGCTTCTGAAAGGTTAGAGCCTTGAAAACCCTATGGAGCAGTGTTACTTTGCATACATGGGGTTGCCATGAGTCAGAATTGACTCTATGGTAACTGACAACAATAACATGTGCCGGGCACTTCTGATGTTTACATGCATTAACGATTATATAAAGTTGATATTATTAGAAAATTCTATGGAGCACAGTTCTATTCGGACACATATGGTGTCACTATGAGTTTGAAATGACTCAGTGGCAACTGGATAATAGTTAAGAAGACACACCCCTAAAGCCAAGGCTATAGTGGAATGTCTTTGATTTTTCTACCTGTCAATTGGAATGTGATCCTACTGGTCATCTCCCTGTCTCAGAGGAAGTATCTTTTATAGATACAGGAAATGCTGTAGAGCCTCCTACGAAGCTCTTTTTCACTTCAACTTCCTTGGAGGCAGTTAAAAGGCAGTTAGTCTAGATTTTATATGTTTGATTTTGGCATCTTGGGATTTGACGGTTTATGGGAGAAAGGATGGAGCAGAATGTTATTTACTGTACCATTTTCTTAAACAGACTATTAAAATGTTAAAGAAAAAAAAACGAGTGAAAGAAACACACAGATTTCATGAAGAAACAACAGAAGTCACATACTTTGAAATACAAGTTTTAGCTCAAAATTCCTTATTTTCTACCAGTACTAATAACAACTAACTAACACATATGGTGCATAAGATGTGCCAGATGCTGTTCTAAGGGCTTCACCTATATTAACTAGTTTAATCTTCACAAAGTAATGAGTAAGTACTTTTCTTAGCCTCATTTTACACATTAGAAAACCGAGGCAGAGAGAGGTCACATGGCTTGTAAGGGTGGAGCCAGGAACTGAACCTAAACAGACTAGCTCCAGAGTCCTTGACCAGCTACCAGCATTCATTAATGACTTCCTGTTTCTAGGCATTGTACTAAGCATTTTACATGGAATGCCTCATTAATCCACACATGGACTCTGTGTGGTAGGTAATATTATTATCATCTCTATTTCATAGCTGAAAAAGTGAAGCTTAGAAAGGTTAAGTGATATCCCCGAGGTCATAAGACTCATAAGTAGAGTATGCCTTGGTTTCTTCATCCATAAAGTAGGAATAATAATCCCTACCTCAAGAGCTGTAGAAAGAAGTGTATATATACATATACATATACATATGTATATATACATAAACTCACTGCAGTCCAGTCAATCCCATAGGGTTTCCAAGCTGTAAATCTTTATGAAAGCAGACTGCCACGTCTTTCTCCTGTGTCTCCTGTGGAATGGCTGGTGGGTTCGAACTGCCAACCTTTCAGTTAGCAGCTGAGTGCTTTAACCACTGTGCTGCCAGGGCTCCATATATATATAATTGTTGAGTTAATACATGTTAATACATATATGTAACTGTTGAATTAATACATGTTAATACATACTATACACACACACACATATACATATACATACTGGAATATTGAGATACATAGATACAGGAGGCCATGTTGGCCTCTATTTCTACCCATAACATGAGTGTTCAAACATTCTCATCTTAAAAAATCTCTTGATCCCACTTCCTCCATTATCACACTTTATCTCTCTTTGTCTTTGCAGCAAATCTCCTTTAAGTGAGTTATATTAGATAGATAGACAGATTATAGCGGCATTTAGAGGAACAGTGTAGATTATAATTTGGAGTTACCAAACAAAAACGTTAAGAAATGGTTTCTTGCTAATTATGAAGCATAGCTCTCTAAGTGCACCAGGAGACAAGAGCTATGGAGACTATGATATATGTATATATGAATATGAAAAAAACTAGAACCATAGCAGTCATGAATGAATGGTTGTGGTTTATTCATTCGTCAAACAAATATGTATTGGGCAAGTACTGTAGCAGTGAGCAATTCACAGGCCCTACTTTCAGGCAAGTAAATAGGCAACTTTAATACAGAATGATGGTACTAAGTAGGAGTAATCAACTCTTAAACAGCCTAGTTATTCTAACAAATAGGTGCCTTTCACAAATTGAAACTGGTGGAAGTAGATATTATACACCAATTCAGATTTTTGGCATCATACAAATTTCTGAGGAAACAGCATTCTATAGCAAGACCTAACTATCTAGAAAGGTAGTGTAACACTTAATTTTCTGGCTTCTGTGATTTTCTAACAGTTTATGATGCGTTACATTTTATGCTCATGACTTATAAAATATACCAGTAGTAAAAAAAAAAACAAAAAACAAAAAAACACTGAGCGCAAAACAGTTCCGGTGGTGGGCAATTTCCTCAACATTTCTTGCAGGTTTTAATAAAAAAAATACTTCCTCCATTCATCCCAGTCCACTGTCATTGACCCATCAGTATCCATGCTGTGTATTTAAAAAAAGAATCTCCAATATACAAACTATAATTCGTAAGTAAAAAGAGCATTACCAAGATGACATCTTATATTCTTCAAGTTGGAAAATTTGAGGTAGAATTAGACTTCTGCCTGTTGTTACTTTTGTGGTAGTAGAGAATCCACCTAACATCTGTAAATTTCAGTTTATATGGGAATAATCCCTGCAACACAGAGCTATTAGAGTATTAAATGAGATTACAATGGCCTTATAAATTATAAAGGACTACAGAATTGTAAGGCATTATTACTGATGCCAATCTTCTTATATTTCTTCTTAAATATTTCCCCTTCTTTCCATCTTGTAACCTCATCTTGTTATGTCTCTAGCAGTAGAATGATGACTAACAATTACCCTTTTCGGTTATGAATCTTTAAAGACAATTTCCCTTTTCTATGTATGGTTATTACATTCTTTCCATTAGTATGACATAATAGTAATCAAGGCAATTTTAAGGATGCTATACCATCAGGGAATTGCTCAAATATGTGAGTGAAATTAAGAATTGAAGAAAGATAGTGGGATACAATGCTTGCAAAGTGTGAACGTTTCAAAATTTCAAGTTCTTGTCTCAATCAGCACCCCTTTCTTGTTTTCCTCAGTGAGTACTACAAACCCTCATGCATCTCCTCAAGCCACAAATCAATTCCTGACACTCACTCTCAGGCCAAGTTGTCCTTTATTTCTCCCCAAAACATGAATGTTCAACCATTCTCATCTTAAAAAAAAAAAAAAATCGCTTGACATCACTTTCCCCATTATGATGCTTTTTTTCTCTGCCTTTGCAGGAAAACTCCTTTAAGAATTGTCTGTTTTCTG